GCTGGAGAAAAAGACACAAGAGATTTGAGAACGCCGATTATTATAAATAGAACTTAACATTTGATACTCGGCAGCTGTTGACATTTTCCATAGTGTTTTTTTTTTTTTTTTAATGGTCTTTTCTACCGTAAAAATCTGCCGATCAGAAATTCTGTATTTTTTGGTTTGGACGCCTGGCTCCTAGTTTCAAGTCTAACCTGTTGGAGAAGATCCCATGTTTAATCCTGTTAAAAAAAAAAAAAAAAACCCAACTTCAAACACAGCTCTGCCGTTTGCTTAAGCAAACACATGGGAGCCACGGGTTTCCTACGTTTTGCTATATTCTTATCTGCTGCTGGTTCAGCAACTCCCTTTTTGGCCAACTTGAGTATGTATTTTGAGTCTGGCAGGGAAGGGGAGAGGCCCTACATGTCCTAGCTGCTTCTGACCAACCTGGCTGCCCTCTCGGTGTTCTGGAAATGGAGTTCTTGGAAGCTTCCACTAGCTTGGCCAAAAGTTGCTCAGAAATCCTGGAAGCAACCAAGATATCCCAGCGAGAAAGAGGGATTGGTTCTGAGGTCAATCCTGAATTCATGTTTCCGAAGATGTAGCAGTAGACGTTCTTAATCCCGTCCATGACATTTGTTAGGATGGTTTCGGACGACGTTGAGTAAGCCAATGAAGGTTGAAGTGGTTTGCTTGGTGAAATTATAATCCATGGTCTACAAACGCAATGTCAACTGCGGTGGTTGGGCGTAATTTTATCATTCATGATCACGTGATGGAAAGAATCTCTTTTCTCCAAGGATCATGGAGAGTTAATGGGCACCATGGGCTGGAGAGGTTGGTTGAGAGACCATCACTTCAATGTCTTGAAGTTGTGCTGTGATTGGCACAGTGGTTAAAATGCAGTATTGCAGGCTAATTCCGAGTTCGATCCTGACTGGCTCAAGGTTGACTCAGCCTTCCATCCTTCCGAGGTTGGTAAAATGAGGACCCAGATTATTGGGAGCTGATTTAGAGAGGACTGTAAAGCATTGTAAAGCGGTATATAAGTGTAAGGGCTATTGCTATTGCCCTCCCTCTGGCAACTATGAGGCAGCACAAGATGGCTTCAGCCAGGTTTGCTTCAGAGTTGACAGCCAATGGGTGCATTACTTGGAATGCTGATACCCTCCTTCCATTCCTTCCTTCCTTCCTTCCTTCCTTCCTTCCTTCCTTCCTTCCTTCCTTCCTTCCTTCCTTCCTATTAGAATACAGTATTGCAGGCTAATTCTGCTGCCGACTGCCAGCAGTTCGATCATGACTGGCTCAAGGTTGACTCAGCCTTCCATCCTTCCGAGATTGGTAAAACGAGGACCCAGATTGTAAGGGGCAAGAGGCTGACTCTGTAAACCGCTTCATAGTAAAGCACTATGAAGCGGTATATAAGTCTTAAGTGCTATTGCTATTCTTTTCTAACACTGGGGTATTTTGGGATTGGATCAGCTGCGATAGCAGCCATGTTTTGGGATGAGTCTTCTTGGCTACTACTCTCAAAGTTTCAGTTGTGGAGTTGGCAGATTTGGCCCAATAACAACCAGACCTTGGTTTGCTCAGGTTTGTAAATAAACTACAGTTGGTTGGTTGGTTGGTTGCCTCCATTGTGTTGTGCAATGACTGTTGGCGGACCACATGTGGTGTGCAAATAGCCCAACAGTATGTGTAAATTTGAGGCCAAATCTGACTTCTCCAATGACGGAAGATTCGTGCTAAACCTAGTTTCAATTCTTGGTATATAGTGGTAGAGGAGTCCTCCTGTGGTTGAGGAGTATCTAGAGTGGTCAGCAACGTGCGGCTCTGGAGCCGCATGTGGCTCTTTCATCCCTCTGCTGCTGCTCCCTGTTGCTGGTTGGCTCCACAATTGATAGGGTGTTCGGTTAGGACAGGTAGAGGAAAAAGGACGCCATGCTAGGAGGAGACTCTATGGTGGGGGAACCGGACTTCCGGTCAGCTCCAGAATTGAACGGGGGCTTCCGGTTAGAACCTTTGTGGCTCTTTGAGTGTTTAAGGTTGCCGACCCCTGAATGTGTTATGTTCAAAGTTAGCAGCTGTAAGATGCATAGTCTTCAACTCCCCAAATTCCCCAGCCAGTATAGATGGACCTCAACTCCTAGAATTCTCCAGCTGGCATGGATGGATTTCAATTCCAGAATTCCCCAAGTGGCCTGAGTGGATTTCAGCTCCCAGAAGTCCCTACTCAACATGGATGGACCTCAACTCCAGCTTAGATGGACTTCTTCAGTGCCCAGAATTCCTCAGCTAACATGGTTGGACTTCAACTCCCAGAAATCACCAGCCAACATGGATGGGCTTCAACTCTCAGAATTCTCCAGCTGGGGAATTCTGGGAGTTGAAGTCCATCCCTCTTAAAGTTGCCATGTTTGAAAAACACCAGTTTGGACCGTTTCCTTCCTCCCCTTTTGCTCTCCACGTGCTTCCTAAGTGGTTTTAACACTCTCTGGGGGCCACCTGCTTTTTCTATCATTTTATTTGGGGAAAGAGATTCCAGCTGAAGGAGAGCTGATCTGTTAGAGCCATTTTCTTCCAAACAGGTGAGAGACGTTGGCCCTTCTGGAATTTGTCATTTGACCCACTTTCCTCCCAGGCCAAAGGAGGAGGGGAGATCCTGAGCTCGCCCCACCTACCGCATTCAGCGCGCCTCCAATGGATGGCGCCGTCCTCCCCTTCCTCTCCTCGTGTTGCAAACATTTTATTTTTAAGCCAGATGCCAACGGGGCACGTCACCGAAAAGGCCGGGTGCACGCATAAGTAAAGTAAACATAGACCCAGCTATAAAGCTGATCAGAAGCTTATTATGGCACTTTCTCTTGATCTTTTCTGGAAACCGAGCTTAGTAACATGGCATCTGTTAAGGTCAAAGCTCTTTCTTGGGTCACGGGATCCAGTAGTGGCTTTCAATTTAGTTTGCTACCGGTTTGCTTGTGTACGTGTGCACTCGTGCATGGGTGGGTGCATGCACGAGCGCACACATGTTGGGCGGAGCCACCCGCCGCCGCTACCGATTCACCCTGTGAGGGGCGAACCGATAGCAACCCACCACTGACGTAATCCCCCTTTTACGAACTTCCCAGCCGGCAAAGTCAACGAGGGAAGTTGACTTGCTTAACAACCGCATGATTTGCTTTAACGACGACAGGGGTTCGCCTAACAATCGATGGCTAAAAGGTTGTGAAATCGGGTGTGACTTAGCGTCTGTCTTGCTTGACTGTGGAAATTCTAATCCCAATTGTGATTGTAAATCGAGAGAGAGTTAGATGTAAATAGGTAGGTAGGTAGGTAGGTAGGTACCGTGTTTTCCCCGAAAATACGACCCTGTCTTATATTTTTTTGAACCCTGAAATAAGCGCTTGGCCTTATTGCCATGCATTCAAAAACCCGATAGGGCTTATTATCAGGGGATGTCTTATTTTGGGGGAAACAGGGTAGATATACCGATAGGTAGGTAGGTAGGTAGGTAGGTAGGTAGATGATAGATATAGATGATAGATAGATAATAGATAGATAGATAGATAGATAGATAGATAGATAGATAGATAGATGTGGATGATAGATAAGATATACAAAATAAGCTGTGAGTTCGATCCTAGGCAGAGGCAGATATTTCTGTCTCTGGGCACAAGGAGAATAGATCTGCTGAACAAAACTCTGCATTGGTGACAGGAAGGGCATCCGGCCAGTAAACAATCAGCTCCATTCAGTTTCCCAGACTCCATTCTGCAAGGGATTATGGGATCGTTAAAAGAGGATGATAACAGTGTCAGGCCTGGAAGCCATATTTTAACTTTGAGCCTTCAGGCCTGCCACAATTTCTACTGTGGGAAAATTGGAGGGGGGATTATATGGATTGGTGATCTGTAGTTGTCTAAATAACATTCTTTCCAGAAAGTCAAGGCCGCCGTGCCCGGCAGCTGCAATGAAGTAACTGGGAGGCATCTTCAGTTTTCGATGGTGCCTGATTGGGTGATGTGATGGACATGTGGGTGCTGGGCAGGGACTTGAACTTTCTTTCTGTTGGAGAAAACCCGGAAACTCCCAGATTCGGGGTTTCCCAGATGTCTAATATGACATCTCTAATAAGGTATAGCTTTGAGGAATTCCAAGCCTCTGAGTTTTATTTCGTTAGGGGTGTTACTTGGAACCCTGACAGACAGACAAGGCAGACAGACATATAGAGAGATGGATGTATAGATAGATGGGTGAATGGATAGATACATGGATGGATGGATGTATAGATGGGTAGAGAGGTGTAAATGGTGGATAGATAGATGATAGATATAGAAGGTAGATAGGTAGGTAGATAGATAGATGGTAGATGATTGAGTGAGTGAGATGGATGAATGGATAGATTGGTAGAGAGATGTATAAATGGGTGGATAGATAGATAGACGATAGATAGATAGATGATAGATAAATAGAGATAGATGATAGATAGATAAATGATAGATAGATAGATAGATAGATAGATAGATAGATAGATAGATAGATAGATGATAGAGTGAATGAGTGAGTGAGTGAGTGAGATGGATGGATGGATGGATAAATGGGTAGAGAGATGAGTAGAGAGATGTATAAATGGGTGGATAGATGATAGATATAGAAGATAGATAAATGATAGATAGAGTGAGCGAGTGTGAGATGGATAGATGGACGGATAGAAGAAAGAAAAGGAAAGAAAGAAAGGAAGAAAGAAAAAAGAAAGAAGAAAGAAAAAAGAAAGAGAAAGAAAGAAAAAGAAAGAAAGAAAGAAAGAATGAATATGAGGAAGGATAGGGCTGAATGCCCACCACCATTTCATTTCATCCTCCCCAAATCCCTCGGTGAGCTTTCTCCAAAGGCTGGTGATGCACGGGCTGACTTTCGGCTACCAAAACCTCTGCCCTCCGAACGCAGTGTTGCAAACCAAGTGATGAGCTGAGGTCCAACTGTTCTAATCCTCTCTCCTTTCCCTCCCTCTGCAGGCCAGCAGTCCCCAGGACCTGCGTCTCTTCTACGAGAAAAACAAGTTGCTTGTGCCAAAGTAAGTTCCAGCCGGCCGGCCGGCTTTTCCTCTCCTGCCCTCCCTCCCTCCCTCCCTGCCTCCTGCTCCCCTCCCGTCTTCTCACCGCCTGCCCCTTGTTGTGTTTTCAATCGGCACCTGTCCCCTCATGTGCTTTGCCGACCGGGTTTAGCAACCACTTGGCAACGGTCCTTTTCTGCTCTCTAGCTAGGAATGATGGATCTCAGCAACCGGCACGCCAACTTAGTTACCCCAGCTGACCTCGCCGGTCTAAATATTTGAAGCAAGCAGGGTGAGGAGAACAGGCAGGGCGGCGAAGATCCCAAACCTTTGCCAGATCCACTCATTTCGGCCAAGCATAACAAGCTCCTTGGGTTTTTATTTTAATTTTTTTTCCCCCTTCCTTTCTTCCCAACCCAAAATAAACGAAGAAGGAGCATTTTTCCAAGTTCTCCGTGTTTCGTTTTACCGGGCTCGTCTTAAAAAGGCTGCAGTTGGTGGTGAGCCCGTATAACGGTCTTTGATGAGGAATTCTAGAAAAAGGAAATTTTTAGACGGAGTGGCAAGCTTTTCCCTTCAGGGTTCAGTCATGGTTTGTTGCAACTACAGTTTGTCGAGTAGTCCTAAAGGGCAGGTTTACGTGCTAGTGCACTGTTTCTCAAACGGAGCAATGTTAAGACGGATGGGCTTCAACTCCCAGAGTTCCCCAGTCGTCATGTTTTAAAACTGGTGGATTTAATTCCCAGAATTCCCCAGCCATCATGTTTTAAGAAAGGTGGACTTCAACTCCCAGAATTCCCCAGCCAACTTGCTTTAAGCTCCCAGAATTCTCTAGCCAGTATGTTTTAAGACAGGTGGACTTCAACTCCCAGAATTCCCCAGCCAGCTTGCTTTAAGCTCCCAGAATTCCCTAGCCAGAATGTTTTAAGACAGGTGGACTTCAACTCCCAGTATTCCCCAGCCAGCTTGCTTTAAGCTCCCAGAATTCCCTAGCCAGCTTGCATTAAGCTCCCAGAATTCCCTAACAAGTTTGCTTTGAGACAGGTGGACTTCAATTCCCAGAATTCCCCAGCCAGCTTGCTTTAAGCTCCCAGAATTCCCTAACAAGTTTGCTTTGAGACAGGTGGACTTCAATTCCCAGAATTCCCAGCCAGCTTGCTTTAAGCTCCCAGAATTCCCTAGCCAGAATGTTTTAAGACAGGTGGACTTCAACTCCCAGAATTCCCCAGCCAGCTTGCTTTAAGCTCCCAGAATTCCCTAGCCAGCTTGCATTAAGCTCCCAGAATTCCCTAACAAGTTTGCTTTGAGACAGGTGGACTTCAATTCCCAGAATTCCCCAGCCAGCTTGCTTTAAGCTCCCAGAATTCCCTAACAAGTTTGCTTTGAGACAGGTGGACTTCAACTCCCAGAATTCCCTAGCCAGCTTGCATTAAGCTCCCAGAATTCCCTAGCCAGCTTGCTTTGAAACAGGTGGACTTCAACTCCCAGAATTCCCCAACCAGTATGTTTTAAGACAGGTGGACCTCAACTCCCAGAATTCCCTAGCTAGCTTGCTTTAAGATGGGTGGATTTCAATTCCAAGAATTCCCCAGCCAGCATTCTTAAAGATTTTAATTATTTTGTTATTGCCGCTCGTCTTGCTGCGAGGGATAAGTTGGGTGGATCTCAACTCCCACAATTTCCCAGCCAGAGTCCTGGCTGGGGAATTCTGGAAGTTACAGTCCATTCATGCATTTTAAGAATGCTAAGGTTGCAAAACAAGGAACGGGGTATGTCTAGTCCAGGGGTCGGCAACCTGCGGCTCTGGAGCCGCATGTGGCTCTTTCACCCCTCTGCTGTGGCTCCCTGTCACTCAAAATATGCATCGCAACCGCCAATGTGCGACACCCACCAGCATGCGATGTATTGAGCTTTTCAACCCCCGGAAGGCCAACCATGGATAAATCCAAGAAAAGAAAAGTTTCAGAAGAAAACAGAACATTTAATTCAACTACATATGCTAGTTTTGTGGCCGCTCCAGAAATAGTCAGGCACGGGAAGGTTTTGTGGCTCCCGGTGTTTTCTTTTCTGTGGGAAACGGGTCCAAATGGCTCTTTGAGTGTTTAAGGTTGGAGACCCCTGGTCTAATGAAAAGAAGGACTAGGGGAGACATGATAACAGTGTTCCAATATTTGAGGGGCTGCCACAAAGAAGAGGGGGTCAACCTACTCTCCAAAGCACCTGAGTGCAGGACAAGGAGCAATGGATGGAAACTCATCAAGGAGAGAAGCAACCTAGAACTAAGGAGAAATTTCCTGACAGTGAGGAAAAATTAATGAGTGGAACAACTTGCCTCCAGAAGTTATGGGTGCTCCATCACTGGAGGCTTTCAAGAAGAGACAGGACTGAAATGGTACAGGATCTCCCGCTCGAGCAGGGAGATGGACTAGAAGACCTCCAAGGTCCCTTCCAACTCTTTATTATTATTTGATGTTCAAAAACCCTGTGCTAGAGACGACGGAGGGAAAAGCCAGAAGGAATGACTTTGCCAGTCTTGTAATAGCATGCTGTTGGCTGCAGGCCAAGAAGGAAGTCGAGGCTGGGCCAAAAATTCAATTTGGATTTAATTTGATTTGATGCTGGTGACGTTTTCCATTTCATTTTGAAAGAAAGTAAAGGACATTAAGCCTGGTTAATTGGCTGGCCCTCTGAGCGCTTAATCGTTTGTCTTTTGATCAGATTAAAACCTCTGGGGTGGGAAGCTTTTGAAGGGCCCGTCGAGATGGATCCAAAATTTTTGTGAGCAACCTGTGACCGATTTTCGGTGGCCTTTTAGGTCAGTTGCCAAAAGGGATGTGTGTGGAGTTACTCGTGCCCCCACCCCGTAAATCAGATCAGAAGTTGGATAACTTTGCTTAATATCCCCTTAAGCAAGATGTGGGTTTAAATTGGAGATTATTGTTATTATTATTATTATTTTGCTTGCAAAATCATGTTTTTGAACCAACATGTCATCTCAGGCAGGAGAGATGATTGAGAATGAGTCTATATAGCACTGTTTGTTTCGCTATTTTTTGAAAAAAAATCTTGTTATTAAATAAAAACCTTGATGGAGCTACGGAGAGTCCTCATTTAGCAACTGCCTCTTTTAGTGACCGTTCGGATTCATGAAAGGGATGGAAAAAGTAACATTTGTGACCCGAACTTCCCTTGACAACTTTCCATAAAGCAAAAGTAAAGCTGTAGTTAGATTGTAAGAGGGGTTGCGGTTTCACTTAGTGACCGCTTCACTTAAAAACTGAGTTGCTAGTTCCCGTTCTGGAGGCTAAATGAGGACTCCCTGTATATGTTTATACTATAAAAGTGCTGGGAAGAAAGAAAATTGTTGCAGAGGTGGCGCAGTGCTTAGAATGAAGAATTGCAGGTTAAATCTGCCGACTGCCAGCAGTTCGATCCTGACCGGCTCAAGGGTGACTCAGCCTTCCATCCTCCCGAGGTCGGTAAAATGAGGACTCAGATTGTTGGGGGCAAGAGGCTGACTCTGTAAACTTCTTAGAGAGGGCTGTAAAGCACTGAAGGAATTGCTGATTTTCCCTTCCTTCCTTCCCTTCCTCCTTTCCTTTCCTTTCCTTTCCTTTCCGCTTCCTTCCTTCCCTCTTTCCTTTCCTTTCCTTTCCTCTTCCTTCCTTTCCTTTCCTTTCCTTTCCTTTCCTTTCCTTTCCTTTCCTTTCCTTTCCTTTCCCCTTCCTTCCTTCCTTCCTTCCTTCCTTCCTTCCTTCCTTCCCTTTCCTTTCCTTTCCTCTTCCTTCCTTCCCTCCTTTCCTGTCCTTTCCGCTTCCTTCCTTTCCTTTCCTTTCCTTTCCTTTCCTTTTTCCTTTCCTTTCCTTTCCTTTCCTTTCCCCTTCCTTCCTTCCTTCCTTCCTTCCTTCCTTCCTTCCCTCCCTTCCCTTCCCTTCCTTTCCCTTTCCTTTCCTTTCCTTCCTTTCCTTTCCTTTCCTTTCCTTTTTTTCCTTTCCTTTCCTTTCTTTCCTTTCCTTTCTTTCCCTTCCTTCCTTCCTTCCTTCCTTCCTTCCTTCCTTCCTTCCTTCCTTCCTTCCTTCCTTCCTGCGCCGTGGTTAGAATGCAGTATTGCAGGCTAATTCTGCTGCCTACCAGGAGTTCGATCCTGACCGGCTCAATGTTGACTCAGCCTTCCATCCTTCCGTCTCTTTTCAACCCTGTTATTCTGCATTCTGAAAATGTTACATATTTGTGGGTGTTTGCATTTATATGTGTATTACTAGGCATCCGAAGTGTTAAGCAACGAGGGTGCTTTTCTTCCTCCTTTTTAAAACTCTTGTTTTATTTCTTTGTTTTTAAAGCATCCCAAGGGAAACCTCTGCCCATTTGAGACAACTCCTCTTAGGGCTGTTGCAACGGAATTACAAAGACCGCATGGATTTTGGTAAGAAGCGCTCAGACGTTGCTTCAATCCAAAGGGAGAAACTTGGGCAGCCCAGTTTCTTTTACATTTCTTAGCCTCTCTTTTCTTTTCCTTTCAATAACAAACTGAAATCCCATCATAAATCCAACTTCTGATTAGAATGAGTGTTTATTTGTTTATTTAAAAAATCTGGGTTTGGGGCAGTGGTGAAATCCATTTTTTTTTACTACCGGTTCTGTGGGCGTGGCTTGGGTGTGGCGTGGCTTGGTGGGCGTGGCTTGGTGGACGTAGCAGGGGAAGGATACTGCAAAATCCCCATTCCCTCCCCACTCCTGGGGAAGGATATTGCAAAATCTCCATTCTCACCCAACTCCAGGGGAAGGATACTGCAAAATCCCCATTCCCTCCCCACTCCTGGGGGAAAGGATATTGCAAAATCCCATTCCCTCCCCACTCCTGGGGGGAAGGATATTGCAAAATCTCCATTCTCACCCCACTCCAGGGGAAGGATACTGCAAAATCCCCATTCCCTCCCACTCCTGGGGGAAAGGATATTGCAAAATCCCCATTCCCTCCCCACTCCTGGGGGAAAGGATATTGCAAAATCCCCATTCCCTCCCCACTCCTTGGGGGAAGGATATTGCAAAATCTCCATTCTCACCCAACTCCAGGGGAAGGATACTGCAAAATCCCATTCCCTCCCCACTCCTGGGGGAAAGGATATTGCAAAATCCCCATTCCCTCCCCACTCCTGGGGGGAAGGATATTGCAAAATCTCCATTCTCACCCCACTCCAGGGGAAGGATACTGCAAAATCCCCATTCCCTCCCCACTGGGGGGAAAGGATATTGCAAAATCCCCATTCCCTCCCCACTCCTGGGGAAAGGATATTGCAAAAATCCCCATTCCCTCCCCACTCCTGGGGGAAAGGATATTGCAAAATCTCCATTCTCACCCCACTCCAGGGGAAAGATACTGCAAAATCCCCATTCCCTCCCCACTTTGGGGCCAGCCAGAGGTGGTATTTGCCAGTTTTCTGAACTACTCAAAATTTCCGCTACCGGTTCTCCAGAACCTGTCAGAACCTGCTGGATTTCACCCCTGGTTTGGGGTGTTTTTTTAAAAAAAACAATTAAAATTGGAATGTAACCTGCTACCTTCTCCAAACTTGACGTACCACTGAAATTTCATTCAACCTCAAAATGTTTTTTCATTTTTTCTTTTCTTTTCTTTTTTTTAAGATGAATTTTTCCATCACCCTTTCCTGGATGCCAGTGCTTCTATGAAAAAATGTAAGTTCCTTTCGTGTTTTTTCTCTTTGGGGTTGATATGCCATTGCAGGGGACACGGGCACGCGCAGCGCGAATTCAGCGATGAGAGCCTTAGTACGTTTTCCTGGTTTTCCCTTTGAGATTGTTGTGTTTCAGAGTGTTAAGGGAAACGGCCTTCTTCCCATCTACTAATAGTTGCTAGAGGAGATTTTAAGTGTTTTTTTTTAATCAGGGCAACCTGGTCTACCAAACTATGGGACGGAGTAATACTGCTCCCGCTTTCGCCTTTCAGCCGCAATCCAGGAGCCTTCGCAGGCAGTCGCTTCCTTAACAAACTATTTTTGTGTTGAATTTATATTTTACCGACAAAGAAATAAAGGGAGACTAATATAGATATAGGGACGCGGTGGCTCAGTGGCTAAGACGCTGAGCTTGTCGATCGAAAGGTCGGCAGTTCAGCGGTTCGAATCCCTAGCGCCGTGTAACGGGGTGAGCTCCCGTGACTTGTCCCAGCTTCTGCCAACCTAGCAGTTCGAAAACATGTAAAAAATGCAAGTAGAAAAATAAATAGGGACCACCTTTGGTGGGAAGGGAACAGCGTTCCGTGCGCCTTTGGCATTGAGTCATGTCGGCCACATGACCACGGAGACGTCTTCGGACAGCGCTGGCTCTTTGGCTTTGAAATGGAGATGAGCATCGTCCTCTAGAGTCGGGAACGACTAGCACAGATGTGCGAGGGGAACCTTTATCTTTAGTCTTGATCTATTTCAAGCTATTTAGCTCTCGTCAGCTAGCCATATCCTTTCTGGGATTCGAACCTGGGCTACTTGCAGTATTAAGTAGATGTCTTAACCTCTAAGCCACGAGCTCTCCTCGCTTTGTCGGCTATACCAGGGAAGAGATTAAGTGTTTTTTTATGGGATGGAGCTTACTGCTTCTGCTTGCAAGGGAGATTTTATTCATTTATTTATTTATTGAATTTATTTGTTCCCCATCTCGTAACGAAACGATCCCAGGCAGCTTTATAGCATTTTAAAATGTTAAATTTTGATGCTTTATGGATTGGAAGGCTGGCTATTATTAGGACAAAAATGCTGTTTCTTGCATTTGAATGTTGAGATTGTGGTTTTCGGACTCTTTGGCTTGCCTGGGCCGCACTGAATGAAGAGGAATTGTCTTAGATCGCATACAAAATGTATCAAGAAGCTAATGTATAGTAGTACAGGTAGTCCTCGACTTACAACAGCTCGTTTAGTAACCGTTCAAAGTTACGATGGCACTGAAAACAGTGACTTTAGGATCATGTTTCACACTTAATGACCGTTGCAGCCTCCCCGTGGTCACCTGATCGAAAATTCAGACGCTTGGCTACTGACTCATAGTTATGACGGGTGCAGTGTCCCGGGGTCACGTGATACCCTTTTGCAACCTTCTGACGAGCAAAGTCAATGGAGTAGCCAGACTCACTTAACAACCACGTTACTAACTGAAGTGACCCATTTAAAAGTCGGAAAATGGGACAAAACCCACTTAATGACAGAAATTTTGGGATCGATTGTGGTCTTAAGTCAAGGACTACCTGTAACAATCTTCCTTTATTATCTATTTTGTGTTATTTGTATTTACTCTATATTTTGTATTATCTTGTGGGGCCACATGAATAATAGAATAACAGAGTTTGAAGGGTCCTTGGAGGTCTTCTAGTCCAACCCCCTGCTTAGGCAGGAAACCCTATTGTCCAATATCTTTTTGACTAGCTATCCAGGGCCTTGTGTATTGTGTGTGAGGGGGCTCAGTGGCTAAGACACTGAGCTTGTCGATCAGAGAAGTCAGCAGTTTGGCGGTTCGAATCCCTAGTACAGTGGGCAAGGGGGTTGGACTAGATGACCTCCAAGGTCCCTTCCAACTCTGTTACTGTTACACCTTCTTAAGATAAAAACAATTCTTCCTTTCCAAGCCCCTAATTGACAAAAGTAAACAGCACTAAGTTCTGTGTTTTTTCCTGAAGAATGGGTTAGATAGCTCCTGCTTTCACCGTGTTTAAAAACCTGATAATTTTATCCTCTCTCCAAAACATAAAGATCTTTTTCTCGCCCCCGTAGCTTCATAATGAGGTCGTAACAATTTGCAGGCGAAGTTCCCTCGGTTTGTCTTGTGTTGTTGTCCTTGAAAGGAGAATTCTTTCATTTATAGTTGGAGTTTTCTACTTTTTCACTCCCTTTTTTCTCACCGGGGGCTGAACTAACGGACGATAAAGGTATGCTTAAATGGGACAGACTTTCGCTTGCTGGAGAGAGAGGGAGATTCAGAATCACAAATGTGCATCATCGGTATTGCAGAACTGGAAGGAGATTAAAAGGCACTTAACTTGTAGGAAGGACGTGGGCTCTTGTCAGATTTCTCCACCAAGGGAGAACTGGTAAATAAGATTTTAACGAAGAAGCAGAGTTGTGTCCCTGGGAAAATATTGCCAACCAAATTCTTTTGGTTTTGCTGCTCCAGACATCTAAGGATAGACGAGGGGTCGGCAACCTTAAACACTCAAAGAGCCACAAGGGTCCTAATTGGAAGCCCCCGTTCCAATTCTGGAGCTGACCGGAAGTCAGGTTCCCCCATCATAGTCTCCTCCTAATATGGCGTCCTTTTTCCTCTGACAACGGGAAGTTGGTTCCCCCACTGTAGAGTCTCCTCCTAGCGCAGCATCCATTTTCCTCTACCTGTCCTAACCGAAAGCCCTACCAATTGTGGAGCCGACCAGCAACAGGGAGCCGCAGCAGAGGGATGAAAGAGCCACATGCGGCTCCAGAGCTGCGGGTTCTGACCCCTGGGATAGACAATGATTCTCTTTCTGCTGCAGATCTTAGATCAAGGATGGCGAACCTTGTTTTGCCTCGGGTGCGGAAAGCGCGCACGCACACTATTGCACACTCACGCATGCCCACACCTACAATGCAATGCCCCTCCCTGTGCCCCCATCCCACAGATGCGTGCACAACCCCTCCTGTGCTGCCCCCCACCCCCGTGCATGCGCGCACCCCCCCCCCCCCCGAGGCCTCATTTTGGGCCTAGCAGGCCTCCCTGATGCCTCCGGAAACAGTCCATTTCCAAACTTCCAGTAGGCCTGTTTTTCGCCCTCCCCAGGCTCCGGAGGCTTCCCTGGAGCCTGGGGAGAGTGAAAACGTCTTTCCCTGGCCCCCCGGAGGCCTCATTTTGGGCCTAGCAGGCCTCCCTGATGCCTCCGGAAACAGTCCATTTTCAGACTTCCGGTAGGCCTGTTTTTCACCCTCCCCAGGCTCCGGAGGCTTCCCTGGAGCCTGGGGAGAATGAAAACATCCTTCCCCGGAGGCCCTCTGGAGGCTGGAAACGGAGCTGACCTAGGGCAACGGCTCGCGTGCCCGCAGATATAGCTCCGCATGCCACAGGTTCATCATCACAGTCTTAGATGGTCACCTTCGCGGAACCTTGAGTGGCTAGGTTCACATATCACATGGCCTGATTCTCCTTATCTCGACTTAGCATGTTGCATGACTTAAAACTTAGAATAACTTCATTGTCATTTTAAATATGACAAATAAGAGCCTTGATAGTACAGTGGTTTACGCACCCTGTTATTAACACAGCTGCCTGCAATTTACTGCTGGTTCGAATCTCTCCAAGGCTCAAGGTCGACTCAGCCTTCCATCCTTTCTAAGGTAGGTGAAATGAGGACCCGGTTTGTGGGGGCAATAAGCTGACTTTGTATAAATATACAAAAGTATGAAGGCTATTGCTTAACGCACTGTAAGCCGCCCTGAGTCTCCGGAGAAGGGCGGCATATAAATCAATTAATATATATATATATATATATATATATATATTATATATATATATATATATATATATATATATATATACACACACTAATCGGCATACATTAAAATGAAATTTCGTTGCATGCAGCTCTTAAAGGGATCTCTACCTCCAATATACACTACATAAACATGTCAACATAAATAAATACAAGATCATGCATATACCCACATATGTTATATGACACAGAGAAACCATGCAGTCTCGTTCGGATGTATAAATGTACATGGCGAGAGAAACGAATCTGGCAAGTTTACCAGATGGAGGGCCTAGGGGAACGAAGCTGTTCCAGAATCTGGTAGTCCTGCTAGAAACAACAGACTAATCTCAGAAAATGAGATTTGGAAGTCATGCTTCAGAGTATTTGTCCTCAGTTCTTAGTGGCTGTTTAAGTAAATCTTAACTTAGTATGATATGGGAGCTCCACGCAGCCTTGAATCGTTCAATGCAGCCTTGAATGGTTCAATCTATTCCAGATTTTGGGTCTCAGGAGGGTGCAAAAGGACAGCTCTTTTCATAGCCATCCAGCTGGGGCATAGATGTTTATGTGGTCCAAAATTTTGAGACAGGCTGATCTTAGTTTGAAGAATAGATTAGTTTGGGAGAAGGCTGGTTGATATGTTAAGTTTCAGGATTCCGTTCCTATGAAATGAGTAATATTCTGGGTTATTTCCTCATCTAGGCATAGAATTAACATAATATGGCCTTATCCCCTTCTATTCCCATATTTATTTAGCGTGATGTTTAGACTCCCCAAGAAACCATTGATTCTGGCAAGAAACCCTTTTTTTGAAACCATGGTTTGTTGGTCTGGAGATAGGCATCCGTTTCTGTGGGGTGCAGAGGTTCTTATACATCTATAAATCAATAGTATAAATACTAAATTAAATCAATTAAGTGGGAAATTAAACACTGCAGCTTGGCTTACAAAGGACAAGATAAAAAAATCAGGTATGGGTTGCATAAGCGTGATGGCTTGTATTTTTTTTTTGTAAATTTATTTGTGCAATCCTCAAGGAGACCAGGCGGTTTAGAAAAAAAAAATAATTTGCTCAGTTTCCTGAATTTTCATTGGCTTGTTGGAACGAACTGTGGTTTAAACAAAGCCTGAATCAAGATGCAGTTTGCAACCAGCAGGAGGTACATAGGAGGAAAGATAAGACAATCCTGGG